CTTGCACAGTCTGACTCCTCCACAGACTGCACAATTTTCGCCCAATTATTTCTTATATTTTTAAAACTAAATAAACTAGTAATTCAGTATCGATAATTCAGAATGTTTTATTTGTGTCATGTATGACAATGAATAGCCATTGTATAATGACTATTTAAAAAATATATAAAAGATTAATTAGAATTATTGACATTTTTATGTGTTTTTTTAACAATGGGCAAGAAAATAAATTTATTGATTTTCTTTTTAATGAGCTATCGATTGAATTTTACTGATTTTATTGGTTGATTTTTTTTTTTTAAATACAGATGTAAAATGTTTATGATTTTCATTTCCATTGAACTGTATATATTAAAGGCAACCTACATTAATTTTTATATATAATTTTAGAAAATTAAATTTTATCTATTATTGAGTTTGCATTCGGAAAATTCGTATTGCTTCCTGTTGCTGAATAGTTAGTTACATAAGCAACTTGACGTCAATGTTTATAGAAAGTACATCAGATTGCAACATAGTCCAACAATGTTATTATTACCATTAGTAAAGAAGGCAATCATAGAAGAAATTATGAATAAATATTACAAAAGAAAACAAATCAGTGGAGATTGTTTATGGTTTATCTTTAAAAAAAAAAAAAAATGTATTGAAAATATAACTTGCAGGATAGCAAAGTTTTCTTTCCTATTTCGCTTTTAATAAACGACAACCTCTGTAGGGTCTTGGGTTCCGTACCTAGTGGAGAAGTAGTGTTTCCTTGGATAACTGTTGTGCAAGGTGATTTAACCGAGATCGAGATCAAACGCCAGGTTTTCTTCTTTAATTTATTATGAGTATCCAATTTAGAGACTGACAAGAAGAAGATATAGTTTGCTGTGGGTCATCGATTTCAACTTTGTTTCTGCCTAAAAAAATATTTACTCCCACATTGCTACGTCGGTTGTTACAAATTTTGCCCATAAAGTAGCTATCTGCCAAATACAACGTCTGTTAAAAACCGTCTGGTGTCTAGATTATATAAGTTTTTAGGAAGAAACAAATTTTTATAGCAATCGAAAAATTAAAATTTTTGCCTATACTGGGATCCTTAAAAGATTATTTAGAATTATTGATATTTTTATCTTTTTTTCAATATTTTTTTCAATGGGCTATCGATTGAATTTTACTGATTTTATTGGTTAATTTAATTTTTTGAAATACAGATGTAAAATTAAGTTTAATGTTTCTGAATTTCATTTTCATTAAACAATATATATTAAAAGCAGCATTTATTAACCTATATTAATTTTTAACAATAATTGTAGAAAACTAAAGTTTATTCATTTATGAGTTAAAAAAAAAACTTTTTTTTAAAAAATAGCATTAAAGCATTTGGTTTCTCGAATGCTTAGAAAAATGTTTCGTGAGGAAAATTCGCATTGCTTCCTGTTGCTGAATAGTTACATAAGCAACTTGACGTCAATGTTTATAGAAAGTACATCAGATTGCAACCCTTCGAAATTTTGTTAAAAACTACAAAACTTTTATAACCGCGATAACTTTAAAATGGCTTCACCTATCCACATGAAAATTAATAGGAATTTATGGTTCTGTATTCTACACGAAATGGTATTAACACGTCTTCGTAACCAAATTAAGACCAAAGATAAAAAATAAAAATGATAAGGAAGGTTTTTTCTTAATTTCTAATTTTAAAAGGAATGAATTTTAAAACTTATCGATGTGGGCGGGAATGGTAGTGATTCAGCTGTCCAACGCTAGTAATATCCTTGAATTTGGAGAAAATCCTGGGAAATTATGAGTACTTTAGTTATCGGTCGGAAAAAAATCTAAGAAATTAAATTTTGAAATTTTTAATTTCTATAAAAATCGTGTTTAAGAGTTCCAAAGGACACTAAAACTAATCTAACTTGCTTTTTCATAACAATTTATTTCACCTACTTTACTGGAAGCGCCTTTTGCGTTTTGTAAGTTATGATACATTATAACTATTTTTTTTTTACTTTTGTATTTGTTTATTTAGAAATATTACATTCTGTCACATCAAGGACATTTATAATAGTGTTCAGAGAAAGCACACTCACACTCTATTTACAATAAAAAAAAAAAATAAAATAATACAGAAACGATAATGATTTAATGCAATAGTCAATATTTTTTTCTTATTCTGCACAAAAAAAAAAAAATCAATTGATTTATAATAACCTAAAAATTTGGACAAAGCAAAGGCTAAAATAAATAACATATATTTTGTTGGAAATTATTTAAATTTGTTTTTCTCGGCTCCATTGGAAAGAACACCCGGGACACGTGTTCAATACTTTTCGAAGTAGAATCATAAAAAAAAAAAAAAAAAATGGTTGAAATCGGTGACTATCAGATTGTATGTATGCCTCAGCAGTATCTCAGGAGTTGAAACTTTTTAAAATAAAAGTCCAGTTCAACTTATTTGTACTTAAGTTCTGGACTTATTTTTCGGATTTAATTTTTTGTAAAATGTATTGCTTTAACACAACTTCTCATTCGATAAGTACAGAAAAACGATAGTAAGTAAATGATTGAAAATAAAAGTTAACTTTCCATTTCAAGCTCAGAAGTAAAGTAATCTGAAAATAGTCCAGGCCTGAATCCCACTGTCCTTGTAAGCCGTGAACACAGTAGTGAGAATGACTTAACCGTTCAAGACTAATTTCTCCAAACCAGTTCTTATAAGATTTCCTCTTCAGCGTGTCTGATGGCTTCTCTGATTCAAGATAGTATCCAGCTCAACTCCTTTACGTCACAGGCGGAGAGGGGGCTTTCGAGCTGAAGCCCCTCCCCCAAAATGGTAAAATATAACCATGCTTTATTAAAAATTATCTCTAAAAGCATTATTGTTCTTCTTATTACATTTAATAGGATTTAAAGAGTCACTTAAACACTATTTCATATACGTAGTTAGGTTTTTTCTTTCTTCCGAAGTAATTATCCTAATATATGAATATAAAAAAAAATATTTCGGTCTTGAAGCCTCCCAAAATTAAATCCTGGATCCGTCAGTGCTTTACATTCTTATGATATTGAGATCTACTTGCAATTCCAATAGCAATTATAAGTAGAGACCGGATATCCATGTTATTGCACTTTTTATTCGCTTGCGTGTAAAAACTCCGGACCCGGATATCTATCCGTTTCAGGACCTGTAGAATATCATATTTACACTTTATATTGCACCTTTTGCCATTTTTTACTTAATTTGCTCTATTTTTATTTCTGTTGCATTAAATTGCACATCTGTGCTAAATTAGCCGATTTATAAATACAAACGTATAAGTGAGCGTTTTAATATTTATTTTAATATTTTCTTACGATTAATTTTTATTTTACTACATTGTTCAAATTAAATTCATCTCACAAAACAGAAAAATATGAGGAAGGCAAATAATTCTGTGTGAAGCAAAAATCGTATTCATTACAAAAGAAAGAAGTAAACACAAGTGAGATATATTCTTGGAATAGAACTTGCCTAAAGTATTGGATAATAAAAAGCTGCTTTCCTAGAATTTTAGTTCCTTTGTTAGTAAGGCATTTATAGTTATTGTTTTGGCTTGAATCCTCACTCACCGTTCAACCCTTCGGTATCTCTTCTGGCTTTAAATTGATTTGTAGAAATTTTATTATAAAAAAAAAAAATTGATAATGCTGAAAATAAAATCTAGTCTCTCGTCAAAAATTAAAATCTGGATATAAAAATACTTTGATTTGAAATGTGAGGACAAAGAATTTGATGAGAAAGTTCTATACACCTTATGAAAAATCAACCAGGTGTTAGGAAATCACTGATAGAGTGTTATCATTGCGTAACAAATAATAAAGTTTTCATTATTATTTTTAATAAAAGTTAAATATCTAAAATTGGTCTGGTCTATATAATATATAGGTACTTCTAATTCCTGCCTTCATTTATTCCTTCAAATCTTCAATGTTCTGCATTATTTGATAATTATCGTTTTATAATCTGGAATTTGATTTTCAATATAACATTTCAATTTTTTTTTTCTAAAAAACTCTCGGTTAACTCAAGATCTGATAAGATTTCGATGTTACGATTAAATAATATTGATGATTTTACACGTTTTTAGGTGTTAATTACACAATTTTAAGTATTTTCACTGCTCGATTTTGCATTTTTTGAGTTTTTTACTGCACGTTTTCCGAATTTTTACTACACGAAAATCCGGTCTCTGGTTATAAGTATTAACATACCCTACCTGTTTTTTTCCTCCGCCTTATCACTTGTTATCTTTTTTACTTAAATATTGACTTTGTCGATTTATTAATGAAAAAAAAACAAACATCAGAATTGCTTTTTCGTAACGAAAAATCGTTTCTTTTGCTGAATGAACATAATCGAATTGTCAGATGAATTAATTGGTCTTAGTTTGTATTAAAATCCATTATCAATTTCACACTGTTGATTAATCAATAAATGTTCAGCATGATGGTTTAGGTCAGGTGAACTATTTTTTTTTTTTTGATTTATTTATTTATTGAGTATTACAACAATGTGTCTCTTGGACATTAGTTATAGTGAGGTAGGATAACATTCACACTATATATACAAAAAATATAAAATAAATAGAAGTGAAATAATAATCAAAAGTATATACAATAAATAATAAAATAAAATAACCTAAAAAAAATAATAAGAAAATTAAAACTAAGCAAAAAACACATGCATACCTATATACAATCAGGCGAGGGAACTCCAGAAGAACCCTGCGCTACTCTCTCAACCGCATCACTGGTACTAAAGCCAGCGGAGATTGATCAAGAGCACTTTAGCCACATACAATCATGCCTTGAGTGGAGAATCTGGCCATTAACTGAATGAACTATTAACGAACTATTTTGACTGATATATTATGTTTTATTTTAGCATAATTCTTGTCTCTTTTTTTTATTTTGTTGCTTCATTAACTATGTGTGATTGATTTTCTGATTTATTTTATTTGTTACAGCTCCTAGGGCTCTTAGTGCTTGGTGTAAGCATATACGCCAATATCCATGGCAGATCCTTAAAGGCCTTTCTCCAGGGAGAGATCACCATCACTTCTATCTTCCTCATTTGTATTGGAGCGGCTGTCTTCCTGATAGCGTTCTTCGGATGTTGCGGAGCAATCAGGGAAGACCACTGCTTCCTTAATACCGTAAGTAAACTGATATTTTTGTCTATTAAATAATTAAAGTATTATTATTATTTTTTTTAAGTGATGCTTTTTTAAACTTATCGTGCTAAATCTGTTGTTTCAACATTTATGTATATATATATATAAAATTGTTGTATATATATATATTATAAATATACTGTGTATATATTTTATCCTTGTTTAGAGTAGAAATAAATTTTAGTCAATATTTCTACATAGATCGACCCCTATGTATTTTGCTAAATTTTTTGTACCACTACAAGACCCTGGAGAGTCTTGGGTTCAGCACTCCGTATGAAAGTACTGTTTTTTGCAAGAAGGTGATTTAAACAAGTCACGCCCAACCTCCAAGTTACCCCCACTCTAATTATTTATTTAATTTAGAATACCTACTTTATAGAGGCTGGTTGCACCCTAGGATTGATCTGTGACTGATATAACAGAATAAATAATCACCAGCTACAGCTAGATTCGAACACAACCAGGAAAAGCAGCACAATTCCTAGTAAACCATGGACACTTTAACTCTATCTAGTGTTGATAGATACAATTGCACTATTATTTGATATGATGATTTCCAAACCATAATTTCTTCAGCCTCTAATGTTGTTTAACATTTATTGACCATAATTTTTTTAATATTTTAATTTTAACCCTATCCTGCCTGTCTTACAACACACTTTTTATTTATTAAATCCCTCCTTTACCTATTGACGCTACTCATATGATATATATATGGTCACCCTAGCTAGAAGTTTTAGAATTATTTTCAGTCACCACCTTATTGCTGATTTCTTCCCATTTAATAACAAAAGTAGTACCGTTCTAGTCAACATCAACTGTATAATATAGGAAATTAATTAGTTATTAATAAACGTTTTTTGTTTTTTTTCAGTATGGAGTGATCTTGTCAATCTTGCTCTTAGCACAGATAGCGCTGGGTGTCCTCGCTTTGGTATACAAATCAAGGTTCCCAGATACATTCTCTAAATATTTAGATGAAACATTTCATAAAGCTATTTCAGATGATAAGGATGCTATTCAAAATATGTCTGAAATCCAAGCAGGCGTAAGTCTTATATTTATAAATAAATATATATATATATATATATATATATATATATATATATATATATATATATATATATATATAATTTCATGTTAATCCAGCAATTATATTAATTTTTTATTACTAGTTGGAGTGCTGTGGAGTCACAGATTTTAATGACTACACAAGCAATAAAAAGGATATCCCTGCTTCCTGCTGCATGAGTCGGCAACAAAATAACAGCACTTGTACTTCAAATGAAGCTTACCAACAAGGATGTAAAGTGGCCGGAATTGAACTCATTAAGTTTTCCCTTCAGATTTTAGGAATTATTGCTTTAACTGTTGGTGGTGTTGAGGTAAGGAAGCATTTACAATTTGATTTAAAGACTTATTATTTATGTAGTTGTTTATAATTGGAATTTTCCACTAGCTCAGAGTGGATAATGCCATAGTAAAGTTTTTATTTAATTAGATTTGTCTCTTGGTCTCTGAAAGTAGGATTAATTAGATCTTTACAAAGTACTGGTAAAATTATATGATTGAAAACATGTTTATAAAGTTATGCTCAAGTTTTACATTTACACTTTTTTTTGTATTGTAAAAAACATTTTACAAAAGAATTAAAACTTCACAACCTACTACTACAGATAAAACTGGTTATGGGATGTTTTATCTGTCAAATTACAATAAATTTAGTTGAGCGTTAAATTGTGTGTATTTTTATTTGAAAAAATTAATCATATAATTAATCAAAGCTTACTTATGAATAAATCCATCATAAAAACTATTTGATTTCCAAATACTTATAAATAGATATAAATGTTTTTATTTATATTGCTTGAAACATTTTTTTTTTTTTGTTTTAGCTGCTTGGTGTTATACTCGCTTTCTGTCTTGCAAGCTCAATCAAGAGAAACGAAATGCGTGGATATGCTTGAAAATGTCCGTAAACCAAGAATGGGCCCTTATATTGTCAAGGGCAGGATGCATTTGTACATTTTATTTTATTAAAAATACATTCTATTATAGTTTTTAATTTAGTTATAAGTAAATTATTTTTATTGACATAAATTGAATGTATAAATAATTAAGAAACCTGGTTTTATTTTAAAATTATAAACTTCTTAATTGTTGAAGAAAATGAGTAATTTTATAAGTAAGATATAAACATAAAGTGAAACTTAATGTATGTAATCAAAATCACTTTTAAGCACTGAAGTATTTTTATGTATTAGATGTTTTTGCTGTTTTTGCCATATTGTATGAACATTATTACAAGATTTGTACATTCCACAGTGAATTTAAAGTATTAAATGTATTTGAATTTAGACATTTTTCTGAAAGCAATGTCTATTTTTTTGAGTAAAAAGAAAAAGCACTCATGCTTTTAAAAGGCTATTAAACTCGATTAAATTATTATATTTGTTTTTATTTCCCCTTAATATAATGAATATTGTCTTTATTATATTCTCAACTAATATTTCTTAAAAAAAAAAAATAAATATTGCATCAAACCATGGTATAAATGGTCATTTATTTATAAGGGTAAGAAAATATCGCGCTTGTAATAATAGATGCATGGGCACTACTTATATAATCATACAAGAGAATTATGGTGAATTTGAGAGTAGAAATTTAATTATATAAATAATAAGTAAAATTCATATTTAAAACCTATAAAAGAAAGAAAAAAGATAAGAGCGAGTTTTCATGACTTTCAATTTATATTAATGTTTTGGAAATGTATCACTTAGAATAGAAGGTTGTACTTTGAAAAAGTTTTCTTCTGTCCTAGTGACTTAACTACGATATTTTATCACAGAACACGTGCACATTTAGATTGGAATAAACAAATCGTGAATTGTTGCTTTTAACTTTGACTACTTGTATTATTTTTTTCTATTATTCAATATGTGGATAAGAAAAAATGTATAATTTACTATTTTTATCTACAAATAATAAGTTAATGAGGCTTTAACATCTTGTATTAAAAAATTGAGACAAGTAAATGTTAGAACTGTTGGAATTTAATAGTCAAATTTAAAAAAACTTAATTCACTTTCTATATTATTTCTCTGCTAATATTTTGTAAACTTTTATGAAAAATTTAATTTTTACAAATATTTCAGTAATTGTTTAAACACTGAAGTTGTTTGTGATATGGTTATTATCAAATTAGCTTACTTATATTAGGTATTTTTAATTGAATTTAGTCCAGTATTGCTAATAGTCTTAGTATTTTGGAACACTATTGAATGCAGTCATAATTATTATAAGCAGTCGCTTAAGGCCTCATATAACAAAGGGTTCCATAGAGACTCCAGGGTTTTTAATTACCACAGCTTAACGTTTTTTGAAATGGGCACTGAGGTTTAATAATATTTATATAAAATGAACAAACTTTTTATATGTATGTACAAAAATTGACAATTTATTGCCTACACATTACATCCTTTAATTGTTAGTCTAAATCTTATTTTTCTTAGGACCCTCAAAATATTTTTGTCAATCAGAGTCTCCATTTGTCTTGATCCATCCTTATTTTTTTTCATAATTTGATTAACTGACTTAAAAAAAAAGAGTAGGGTTAGACACATATAAATTTAAAAACAGATTGCATTCTCAGTTATCACATTACATTTTTTTTTGCAATAAAAAATTATTACATAATTATTGAATCATCACTAATTTTTTTGTGATTATCTTCTTGTAATAAAACAGTATTTTAAATAATGGTTCTTTTATTGATCCTGATTCCTTGAGTCAATCAAGCCTTTATGGTAAAACTAAATTAAGTATATTACAGGGCGGTCTAGATAATTCTAATCCCTAATAATCTAAAACCTGATCTGAACAAAAAAGAAAAAAATTTAAAGTTGACTGATGAGAGAAGGAAGAGCTAGCAGGAAATGGCTTGAGTGGAGTTGGCCTGCAAAGCTATCCATCCCTCTCTGTTTCTCAGTACACATTACTGGAATATCCTCGCATCTTAGTCGAAAACATATTGTGGTGTCTCTAAACTGAAATTATTAAAATTAGGCGGTCATCCAGAAGTTGAAGAATCTCTTTACATATGGATTTTACAGCAGAGATTATGAGGTTCTCCAGTTTCTGGAGACATGTTAGCTGAAAAGGCAAAGTTTTTCTTTAATAATTGTTTTTAAAAGAAGAGTTTAATGACAGTAAAGATTGATTTAATAATTTCAGAAGCCATTATGGAGTACGTTTTCTGTATTTTTTTTTATTTTACTGGAAAATTTCTTTACACCTATTTTATTTTTCATTAGGTAAGTCATAAAAGAGCCACAAAGGCATTTGATATTTGCTCTTGGTGTGGACCAATGGATAGTTTCGACTACCCAAGTCTATACTTTTAAGGAGTTTGTGAGGTCAGGTTTTTTTTTTTTTAGCAATAAAATCGAAGACTCAATGTGTATTATATGGTCCTTTTCAGATTTTTTTTTTGTTTGTAATGTTTTTATAATTAACTGATTATATATATTTTCTTTAACTTGTGCAATTTTTCTATCATTTCAAATTTAACCTTTGATAATCTTACCAAGCCATGCTATCTACATGTTTGTATAATTAAGTATCCTGTATTCATATTCATATTAAAAATATTAGATTCAGGTAAAATACAAGAGAATGATTAACTGGTCTGCTTTTCTCAAATGTGGACATAAACAGCTCTCAACACCTCATGTGATAATCGATAATCTAGTAGAGTTAGTACATCATAAATGAAAGTTCAACAAATAGCCAATGCTTCTATTATTTTCTTTGACAATACGTTATATCTGTTAAAAACTACAATAATGCTTCATATATTGATTTATTTTTATATGTATTTGATGTTCACTCAAAACTTTTTTGCATAGCTTTATTTGACATCTTTCCACAGTTATAAAAAATTTTATGTGTTGCAGTTAACTATTAATATAATAAGGCCTATCCACTTATCAGAAACAATTATTACTTTTTAGTGTTCTTTAAACTTTTTTATTACCTAGTTTTAGTTATTTCATGTATTAATAAATGTAAAATAATTGTTAGCACAAAAGCAGAAAGTAAAATTAAGTAAAGGTTTTGAAAATTTTACAAATCTTACTTCTTTAGCTTACCTCACTCACTATTTATAAGTTTAGTTTCAAGAACCTAAATCATAGACGCCCAAGTTGGTGCTTCTGAATTAGCATGCAGCCAGCCAGTAAAATTTTAAATATTTTATAATTAGTTTTTAAAAAAATCACCTACTCTTTCTGGGATTTTTTTATTGTGTTATTAACTGCTTCCATACATAATACACTTTTTCAAAATATAGAAAATTGGAAAAAATATTAGCGAAAAAAGTACATATAATTATTGCGAAAAAGTCTGAGTATGAGAGGGAAGTGGTAGTACAATTGTGGCACGCCCACAATGGGTAACCAACTATCTTGGTTGTGGCATTCATTAAAGAGTTTAAACAATGTTGACTAAATTAGCAAAAATTTTAGCATTTTATGGTCAACTGTCATTTTAATTAAGTTAGATCTTAAATTTGTTTATTATTATTAAAAACTATTTTATATAAACAATTATTTAAATTCAAGGTATGTTAAAAAATCCGATGCAGTGCGCACATCACACAATTTTCACTTACCAATCTTAGAGTAGTTAGATAGATATTATCTTATAGAAAATCAAAGTGAAAACGGCTATATAACTTCATTTGAAACAATTAACTGCCATGTTTGTCCCGCCCATCGAGTAAGTTAAATTTATACATTTTCATCACTTTCTATTTTCTTTTACGGCTATGTATAGTATCAAACAATACTGATGATTCTGGGAAAAATAGATCTTTTGGAAAAATACTGAGTTTTATCAGAAACATTTATCATAAAACTTCTCGAAAAAATAAACTTAACGCTATTAAATATTGCATATTATTAGATTTATATCAGTGAATCCTCAACATTTTGCATGAAAACCTTGAAAAAATGAAAATTATGGATAAATGATACATAAGTTAAACTAACAATACGAAAGCTCTGTACAGAGGGATACTGGGTATCTGTAAAGGGGGAGGGGATTGGACGCTCTCGATTAAACAGCCGGGCTTCCTACATAGCTTATACCGTTTAGCTCCCTACCCTTATTTTATCCTTTAGTCGCCTATCAATTTTCTTCATTCACTATATTTATCCATTTTTAATAGGACGTTCAAATGTAAAATGGTTAATTATTTCAAATAAAAAAAATTAAAGGTGCTTTAGAGCCCTGTCAGCTTGCATTGATGAGGATAAAACATACCTTAAATTAAAAACTGCTTAATAATACACTGACCTAGTGAGTTAAATCAAAAACGTTGGAGCCGGTTTTGACAAAAAAGTTGCTGTAATATCACAGGTATATACAAACCTTAAATAGGCAACATCAGTTTCATATGCCTTTTCATTTTTGAACTACGCTGTTCACAAACAGACCTTTTGCGGCGGAGGACGGGGTGACCAAATGGCTAATGTGTGTGCACAGCAACGCCATTGCCCGGCAACCTGATACATGAGATTACTTGATAAAAATAGTCATGAGTTTGCATCCCAGTGCTGGGTTCTTTTAAATGCCCACCCTCACTCCCTGGCCCAGGAAAACTCCGTATAGCCTTAAAGGCGAGGAAGGGGAGGACCCAAAAAACAAAATTTTGTGGAACTTGACTATTTGGACCTCAAAACGTGTATTTCCATTTGAAACTCAGATTCAAAAATTTTCACAATCGCAATACTTACTGTTATTATATATTACATATGTAGGTAATTAAAAGTAAAAACAGCAAACATGATTTTTCTATGTCTACTTTATCTTAAATATACTGGGGAATTTATACAAATTTATGCAGGTGTATTCTTGCATTAAAATTTAAAATTTTGAGAGCCAGCTGCTGGGACAGGAGCTGTACTAGGTTTTAGCCAGTCATTTCTTATTTATCCATCAAATTTTATCTAATGGATATAATTTTATCTGATGGATATAAATTTTATCTAAGATTAATCTCATGGCTCCCTGCTTTAGCAATCTTAATTTCTTCTATTTAACTTTTATCGGAATTATTCTTAGGATATTACAAAGAGTTAGTTAATTTAAAAATAAATTAAACAAAGTTTAACATTACAAATTTATTCATTCTTGGGTTACATTGTACAACTATTTTCAAATAATACTTCTTTACTTTTAGAAAAATCATCTCACTTATATATCTATCAGTTACAGAGCAATCATTTATTTATATATATATACTTTTCTATTTATATGCATATTTATAAATTACGAACACAGATTAATTACTAAGTTGATAATAATAAAAATAAAAGGGTAATCTACAATTATTACAAGATATACTGCATATATAATAAAGTATATATGTTTTTTTTTTAAATATAACTATATATTATATACAAAGTAGATATATCTACATACTGAAAATACATAAATAGAAGGAAGTAGCGTCTGATCTTTCCAAGACTCCGCGCTTGTCAGTAGGAAAGAGAATAATAATACAAGAATAAATAAATTTACATTATACATTCATATTTCATGAGAAAAAAAAAATAAAAAAAGAAAACTACCTATTATGTTAAATTAAACTAAAATTAGTAAATAAAATTACTTGAATTATCGGCAATAATTAACAGCATCACAGACATGCAAGGTAAAGTTTACCTTTCAGACTAAAACATACTTTTATTAAATAAGTTTTAACAAAAAACCAAACGTAGAACAAGGTTCATGCAACTTAAATCAGCTGTATGGAAATTATAAGTGATAAATCTTCCAGAAAAATGGAAGACAAAATTGACAAGCAAGGAGCAGATCAGGATTCCGAATTCAATTGCACTTTGTACCTAGCCTATGGCAGGAAAAACAAATTCCTGCAAAACTTAGCACTGGAAGCTCGGTTGTTCCAATATCTCTGCCCAGCAAGGAAAAGGAACAGCATATATAATGTTAGAAATCAATATTGATACATTATTTGTTGCTCCCAAAGCTTTCCAGCAATCATTTATTCTCTACTATGTAAGAATGTTGAGAGGTATTAAAAAAACATAGGTCTTAAAAAGATATTGTTTTTTACAATGCAGATATTAACAATATTATAATAATTAAAATTTATAGGAAAACAAAAGCATACTTTCCACTTTCTGTGCCTTTAATACATATAAGTATTTTTAATCAACTGATGAACAATGCTTAGTAAATGTTTAAACCCCTATGATATTGTAAACAACTACAATTACCAAAAATATCAAGAAATAGGATAGTTATAGTTTGTTTTTTTGTTTACTTTGTTTTTCTTCAAGCCAACTTTGTTTATAAAAGAGAAGCATTATTATCAAGAATTATATTATTATACTTATCAGTATGTAATTTTAATTACAAATCATTTTTTTTATAAATATATTGTTTGATTGGCTTCTATCTACAGTAATAAGTAGGTGAGTATAAAATGATGAAATTTAAATTCATTTTTGTAGGTATTGCTCTTGAGGAAGGCTTAAAATGTAAATATCTTCTCAAAAATAAATTCACTTTTTGAGCAGTTTTCTAGGCCGGTTATGCACACACACACAGATGAACCTCTTTCAAATGATGGACTTTGGAAATGTGTTTTTGTAGTTTTTTTTTATAAAGATATAATTCTTTAAATAATCAGTAAACTTAGTGAATAAAATACTCTTTCAGTAGTGATATCAAGACATTTGTAATTAAGTTGTCCAGAAACTATCAAGTCTTAAATTTTCAGTACTAATTAGTCTTGAACAACAGTTATCAACAGCTGCTAACAGAATAAGTTTATTATCTGTTTCAGCCAGACTTAAACCTAGGTATAGGAGTTGAGAATTCAGTGACTCATCCACTGAGCTATTCTTAATCCCTTAAAACCGATAAGAAATACAATGAAAATAATAGTGGTAAAAAAAGGGGGAGAAGCACTAGGGGACTGCAGCCCCAGATCTTGTTTTTTTACTTCTAAATTTACATTCAAATAAAACATAGATAGCAGAACATATAGGAGTGGAATAATGCGTGTGTAAAACAAACATTGCCTGCCTCAAGCAACCTGCGATAAACCAAAGTTTATGAGTGATGTCAGGACTTTTAACTCAGGCATAATTTCCCCACCCTCTCCCCTGGACCCGGAAAACCCTGTTTAGCCTAAAAGCGAAGAAGAGAAAAAAAGACTTTGGTTGAGTTTTAACAATAAATATAATATTTTACGGAAAATTATTTCTGAAGCCCTTGGCTTTTCTATACAGCCCTGAGATAATGAGATTTATCATTTACTCAGGGCTGTACATGTAATAAAGGACATAAAATAAACAGAAGAAAAATATTCATAAAGAAAATTCACCACAGTAACTGATCCCAAATTATTTTGATGTTTAATCAGTGTAGTGCCGGGGGTCCACTTATACAAATGGTAAGCATATTATATAAAGTTTAGTTTCATTTTCATATCCCAAAGGCAACAGACAAAAGAGGTCCAATTGTATTATGCTATTAGAATACTGAATTCGACAATAATTATTATTACAGTAGGACGACAAAGGTTTCACTTATAAGTCTCATTCTACCTGAGATACTTTATAGACAATCACAATGAATAATCTTGATATTGGAACAAACGGCTATTAACTATAAATGATTTAACATTACTATACAAAAATAAAACAGTATCATCATACAATTAAATAAAAACAAATTAAATACATATATCTAACAATAAGTTACATATATCATCTATAATAATGTTTTCAAAGAATCATTCACAACAGTTTTTTTTTTTATTTATATTTATATGTAATTTATGACTTTATTTCTTAAATGTAATGCTTGGTTCATTTTGTATTATTAATTGATACATAACAATATCCCTGTTTAATTTGAACTTTATTAAAATCATTTATTTATTGTGCATACAGAAGTAAAAAATTTAAATTCTGTATTTTTATAAATAAAGTAAATTATTCCAAAGAAATCGAGTGAATTAAACTTTGATCAACCAAATGGGAATAGCCAAATCCTTTAAATTATACACAAAGCAAAAACAATCTCAAATATTAGAAACCTGATATATTAATGCATAATTAACAGATATCAAGGAAAATATGTTACATTAGATAAAAAAAACTATACAATTAATAGTGGATATTATGAAAATAAACTTTAAAATGAATTAAATACAGGTTTAAACTTTTTAGTTTATGGTAGAGGATGGAAAATGTTGAAACGTTTACTTTGGCTAATTTTAAAAGTAATGAGACTGCTAAGACTTAATAAATATAATAATGACATCTTAGGCACTTAAATATTTTGGAGCATTAAAAAATAAATAAATAAAAAGAGAATTAAATCAGAGGTCATTGTAATAAATTTATTTTTCTATAAAAAAAGATGGCTTTGATAAAGCAAGCCATTATTAGTTTGTACATTTAAATTCGTGCACAATTTCAATTATTTGTTATTTGCTTGTTTACTTTATTGTATTTGTAATTAGAAGGAACCATAATATTCACATAATATTACTAAATAATAATTATTTATTAAAATGGATTCCAAGAAAAATGAATAGATAACTTAATGGATTCACAAAGACTATATATATATTCTTTTATCCTCCAAAAAGAAATTATAGATTTTAAAAGTATTTTTTTAATAAACAAAAATCAGGAATGATTTGAATAAGTTGATTTCTTCAATATACATTATATTGTCATTATTTATGATATAATGCAATACTGCCACCACATGAACCTTGTAATTCTGTTTGAGAAAACATTATTCTTAACATTATCTTCTTCTTTTCTAATTACACATAAAGTAAAGAAAAAAAAATCATTCAAAAGTATGAAACATAATTCAGGAAAGTTCTACAATATTTATATAAAAAATATGTTTCACATAAAATTAAGTACCACGCTACAGGGAAAGGATCAGGTCTTTTAGTGAGGATTAATAGTAGATTCTCTTGAGCTTGCAGAAGTAAGTTCTTCTAGAAAGTCAAAAGAAGCAACTGCTTCTTGCTCTTTAGCTCCGAAACGTGTAAACAGATCTTCACGTCCTATTATTGAAGCTCTTGTATTTGCCTGGCAGCGCATGGCTCCTTCTCTGCTTGCTGATGCTGAAAAACAAATATTTGAAATAATTTTAGCTTATTATATCTTCCAAAAAATCATTAAAATCAAGGTGTTGTAACTGAATTTACATAAAAAATAAAAATTTTTGATAAATTTACAGATATAAAAAATAATAATATTTATAATAAAATGAAATGTGAAAAAAGTCAAATTTCTACAATTAAAAATATTACATACATAATATGCATATAAGATATACATACTTGTTTTATATGCAAACAAGCTTTCAATAAAATATCTACTTTCAAGTATCATTAAGATATATATATCATTAAGATATAGCTGTAAGTTAGATTATAAGATAGTCTGAAGAAAATTATCAAGATAGAGGTGAGCCCCATCACCCAGATTGAAAGTCCAGAAATAAATATAAACAAAACTAAGAAAGGTTCAGCAAGACCTTAAAATGTATCTAAGATACAGTACAAGGAATATGTTAACCATGTGAAAGAAACAACCTTTATGAAACTGGGGATAAGAAAAAAAAAAAAAATCATTAAATATTTCTTATGTAATACCTCTAAACTTAATTTCTTCTTATGTTTTCTTTTACAAGCGAACCTCCTTGCGATTGTTGTATATTTTACTCATCACATTTGTTCAGTATTTCAGGAAATGTTTTCCAGCCATCAGAAACATATTCAGTATTTTTTGTCAGGTCCTTCTCTACAATTCAAGAAAATCAAGAAAGCTGTATTTTTCCTATTTCTTCACGTCTTATTAATTTGTACAATTTACTTTTTTTTGGGATACACCCTTTCTCATTTAATAAAATTTGTCCATTATTTTTCAGTAGTTAAACATATGAGGACAAAATAAAAAGAATTAAAAAATGATAAACCAATAAACCTAATATTATCAGTACTAGCAGGAAAATAATTTGTAAGGAGAAGGAAGATAAGAGTTATGGAAAGAGAAGGTACAAATTTAAAAAGATTCTTAAATGCAAACAACTGTTGGTCCTTATTAATGTTGTTCCTAAATATATTTAATCATAGAAAAGTAATCGACAAATTTTACAAAATGACAAAGGGGACGTATAAAAAAAAAGTAAATTGTACAAATTAATAATAAATAGTAAAAATAGGAAAAAGGTATCAATAATTGAATATGTTTCTGACGATGGAAGAACATTTCCTCAAATGTCAAACAAGTGTAAAGGAATGAGATAAATAAAATATACAACAATCACAAGGAAGTTATACTGTCAACTTTATCATTAATACTGAAATTCCACATCAATTCACAAATCTCTCATCATAAATTCTCAGGATATATCTTTAAGATGTTAGTTTAATGAACTTTGTTTAACATTCAAGGAAAATATTTCACAAAAAAGAATTAATGATTTTCTTAATAACCATGTTCAGTACTTGAACATGACAGTAGCAAAGGTGCTTAAGCATACTGAGAAGTAAATTTTTCACTCTGACGAATTTTAAAATAAAGGTATATAAACCTAACCCAAAACCTGCAAAATACCTTAATAATAATGTTGTTAAAATATAATACATAATGTACTAATTTATAAACTAATTGTTATAATAAGCTGGTGTAGATTTATACCTTGTTCACATAAATAATACAAACTGCAGAAAAAAGTATCACATAAAAATATACCAACTTATTTTTGATTGATTATTATAATTTTCAAATTAAATGTTACCTTTAAAAATTGATTGTATTAACCTCTTTTTTTTGATAAAAAACATTCATGTAGAAGCAAAGTAAAGAATTAGTTTTGTTTTGTTTTGAAAATGAATACCTTTCTGGATCTTTTAACATGGACATAGATTACTTTGCTTTTGCATTTTTACTTAGTGAAATTTGGGTATTCATATTATTTTTTTTCTTTCATCAAGATGAGTTACGAAATATTGCTAGAAAACAAAACAAAAACAAATTAGTAAAAAATATCATTAAGGACTTTCATCTACTTTTAAATAGATAATAGATTTATTTTTAGATTAAATAAACATTAACACATTAAAAAAAAAAAACAGTTTTTCAAATGAATGCAATACTTCTTTCTAGCAGTTTATATACATTTAAAATAAACACATATATTTTATTTTATAAATACATTTACTAAATATACTTATACACGATCACACAAATATATCCAATATATATTCATAAAAAGTATGTGTAATTATTGTAGTAATAATTTTTTATGTCAATGTAAAAGAAGGAACAAAAGTAATTTATATAATATATACCTTTCTTATGCCTGCGTGATCTATGTAAACGATGTAAGTGTTGGTATCCCGAATGATCATCACCACTTTCACTACTGCATGAGCTTGAACTTCGACTCATAACTACATCCATGAAATTAGCTCGCATCTAATAATAAAAAAAAATATTAATAATTTTATACACATAGGGAAAACTTTAAATTCATATCAGAATGAAAAGTGGATTTATGAGACTAAATGCAGTGGAATTAAAATACTTCAATTTAATTATAAGAATCATTTACACTGATGAATTTATATAAGACATTGTTTTCATATGAAATTTTAGAATTTTTACTTCTGACTTTTGAATAATAAAAAGTAGCTGTCATAACATTATTTTAAACATTAAAAACAAACATGAGTTATTTAGCAAATATTTATATTTATTTAATTTAAAATTAAAAATTTCAAAGGAGCTGACAAAGTAAGATCACAGTAGCATGGGTGATAAATATTCAAGACGCAGTCATTATAAAGTTTTTATTAGTGTCAACGTTTCAACCCGAACATGTGGGTCATCATCAGGGCTAAAGATTTTTAAATACAATCAGAGATATAATATTATACAACAGATAATGGTTAATAATAAAAAAATATAGTGATTGATGATACATGAATCTTATATAATATTAAAATACAAATGAAATATGTAAACTCCTAAAACAATAGTCTAAAATAAATAAAAAATGTTTTTCATTTTCCCCATTTCCCCATCAACTTAAATAGTTTTTTTTTATGATTAATATTGTTATTCTTAAAATATTGTATACCATATTGTCCTACTTATCATTTCAATCCATTACAATTGTCTGTATTATAAACATTATTGCATCAAACTATGTTATGATAATATTGATTGGCACCTCTTGCTTATGCTCATTTCATTACTAGCCATTAGTCACAATTCTGTAACCATAAGAAACAATGCAAATATTGTACACATCTTGAATATATTGTCAGAAAATTATTTGTATTCTACAAACAGAAGTATTACCTCTCTTTCCCCTCTGACTAAGTTTTTTGCTATCTGAAAAAGCACAACTGGGAAACTCCCTCCGACCCTTTCACATACCTACCAAAGTGTCAGTACTTGAATACTTTCAGTGCTCGAACCACGGTTAGTAAGATAAAATATTACAATTTTTATAAATTGATTGTATACATTATTTTTAGTTTGTATAACTTTTTACATATTTCAATTGTAATATTTTGTATTCTAATATTAGTTAAGATTCATGTATCATCAATCACTTTTTTTTTAAACCATTATCTGTCGTATAATATTATATCTCTGATTGTACTTAAACATTTTCAGCCCTAATGATGACCGACATGTTTGGGTTAAAACGTCGGCACTAATAAAAACTTTATAATGATTGCATCCTGAATATTTATCACCCATGATATGGCGAACAGTTGACTAACTTCCTTCAATAAGATTACAGCAGCATAATATTTTAGCTAGGATTGGTACCGTATCAAACAAATATTGTATGTTTTTTTTATTACTTAAAGAATTTAAACATCTAAAACTTTAATACAATGATTGTTTAATGACCTTTGGATCAGTGAAATCGGAAGCTCTTTCAACGTGAACCCAGCCAGTGGGACAGCCACCATCTTCAGCTTCAGGTTGAGGAGAAATTTCTTCCTCATCTGCTGCAAGTCTTTTCAGTTCTGCCAACATTCCTTCTCCTTCTTGCAGCTCAGGCTGCTGAACTTCCGAGATTTCCAGTGGTTCACAAGGTCCTATATCCACTGTCTGGACATTCAACTGAGATTTCTTCACTTCTGAAAGAGTCAAACTTCCTCCATCTTGCAGTACGGTTTCAGGAGTTGAGATGCTTGAGGTCAGAGATTCTTCTTCTTCAGGCACCGTTAGCAGACTTCTCGCTTCTCTGTTAAAAAAATGGATAAAATCATTATATATGTCTATAATAATTTATAATGATGTCGAGATGGTTGACCGTGATATAATATGAGAAGGAGTTGGTCAGGGAATGCAGTCAAATAAACAATAAATTTTTAAAAATAGTATGTTTAATTGTTTCGCTGATTTTTTGACCCACCTTGCAGGGCGTTGCATCAGGCACTGCAGTGCTGCTTCCTGCAGTGCCTGATGCAACGCCCTGATGAAGAGCTGCAAGGTGGATCGAAACGTCGGCGAAACAATTAAAAATACTATTTAAAAAAAATTAATTTGACTGCACCCCCTGACTAACTCCTTATATAATAATTTATAGAGAAAAAATATTTAATTTCAAAATTTTAACATTGATGCTCCCTTAATAGGTTAATATAATAACTCTAATATACCAATAAATCTAATTTTCATATTTTTTTGTGAAACAGAGTAGAAAAATACTCTGTATATTAAAGCCAAGTGTAATTTAAATAGGTGTTATAGCATAACACACACACACACACAGACATACATAATGTTGTATAAAGGGTAGCTCAGACATTACAACACATAATAATGATATAATATTTATAACAGAAATATATCTTTTACATTTCGGCTCTTTCTGAACATCTTCAAACCTATCTTTGACTTGAAAAAGATTACCTAATAATTGATAAAGTAGGTAAACATACCGGATGATATCTTCTGAACTGGAGAGATCAGAAGATTTCGAAGCGATTCCTGAATCAGTATTGCTCTCACACAGTTCCTCTTTCCCACCTTCTTCCCGCCTCCGACAGTACTGCTCCTGTTCTGATATGAAGTGAAGAACATTCTGTAATGTCTGGTCTCTATCCTGGCTCACTGATTCAGCCTGGGACCTAAAAACATAAATAAATTAATCTTTATGTATCGATAGAATGGTGGAAAAAAGTAATAGATTATAAAGCTATTACAATGAGGTTGTTTTATCGAAAACAATGTATATATTTTTACTATAGACAAGAATTTGTAGGAGTAGTTTCATATCAAAGACGCACATCTGTCAATTTCAGAAATGGGAGAAAAAGTCAATTTGTGTTTTATAGGTTCAACTCAATCTGTTTTTGATGATGTTATTTAAGAATGTTCAAGTTGAATCATATAAAATAATCATTAGAATCATTCTGAATAATAATCATTAGACTTTTTAAAAATGAGAGACGTCCGTCTTTGATATTAAGGCACTCATAGGTTTCATGATATAATTTTTTTGTAGTTTTTGTTTATTGCTTTTTTTACTAGTCTAATATTAAGCTCACAAAAAATATAATCTGAACAACAATTGTTTTATTTGGTAAATTATAATTTCAAAAGTTTGATCGGGGAAACCAACATAATTCAGTTACAGCTGAATAAACCTTTTTTTAGTCATATCAAATAATTTTTATATGTTTTTTTTTTTAAACAGCTTCTTAACAATTCAGAACAACCAACTTATCTGTGAAATTCATCCTAATTTTTTTCCATGTGATTAGTTTACTATCAATAAAGAATCAGAAGAAACAACATGAATCGATGCTTTCATTTTTTGATTGGTGAATTCAGTTTTTTTTTTCAGAGTGATTTCCCAGCTAATTAATCCATGGTGCTCAAAATTAACATGAAATATATTTTATACTTAATTAAAAACAAATTTAAAATAATCCCTTGCCTTGAGCTAGTAGAAGCCAGACTTTTTGTACTTTCAAACTTGACAAGCCGGTAAAAATCACTTGTGAAATGAGTTCCGACTTGACAATCTCCTTCGCTCATTGTTGAAGACCTCTTTGATCCCTCAGATGTAGTACCTTGACTTGACCAGGAGTCCCCACCAGGAGAAATGAGCTGACTAGAAAGCCAAACTTCGTCTTCAATCAGCCAGGACAGACCTAGTAATAATGATATATTTTGGTTAAATTATTATTATTTTTTTTTTTTGTAAATAATACATAGTTGTTACTTGCTTTTTAAATCATCTGTTTGTAAAGAAACAATAATTTTGCATATTAAATATTTATTTATAAAATATTGAACTAAAAAATTTTCCTATTAGCTTTTTATGATATATAATGAATGAGAGTTCCAGTTTTGCATCAAATAAAGATTTATCTGGTTTAAATCCTTCTAGTAAAATAGACATGATAACGTGAACAAGTTAAAATTTAAATTTGGAGAGAAGCATTTTCAACAATGCTCAATGCAACAATGAAGACAATGGTCTTCTTTCCCATGTCGATAAAGCTCATGCCTACTTGTAATTTAGACATGTTTGCATGATATCAAAGAACCAAAGCAATCAATAATTTAGTATCTTTCATATTGTCAGTTTATTGCAAAAAGTCACTAATTACATTTTTGATGGAACTAAACTTTTGAGAACGTGAATTTTTATCTTATGGGACTAAGGTAAGCTATGCAATTCATTTAAAAAACCCTTATTCACCAGAATCAAGTGGCTGTTTGGTCTAAAAAAAATGAACTTCGACTAACTATCAGACCCCTGACAGTTCGTTAAAACCTTAGAGGACATTTAAACATTTCCGGATAAGTACAGGATGAAATCTGCCATTTGTGTGGAAAGGTGCCAGAAACTGCCCTACACTATGAAGCAAAATGCGAACGATTTGGATCACTTAAGTTTCTGATAGAATTTTAGAACAGAAGGTTTCCTGAATCGATTGATCGTCTCTTTTGAATTTCATTAAGAAAATCAAAAGGTTGGAGATGGAGGATAAATAGACTCCACTGGTATATCTAATCTTATTTGGGGTTGGCATAAAGAGTAGTAGGCTCACTTGCTGGGTTTGTTTTTCCCTCTTTACCAGCAGTAACAGCAGCAGCAGTATCTTATTTATAAAAAAAAATAAATATTGAAAGTGCCAAAACGACAAAAACCCTTTTTTATGTCAAATAATTTACAAGAGCAAAATATTTTGATTTCAGAATAGGAAAATTCATCTAAGTTCTTAGTAGATTTAAGTTATGAAATGTCAATGTCTTTTAATATAAACTGTTGATATATAAAAATAAAATTCAGTAAATTGTTAATTTTTATTCTTGCATTTAACAAGAAAAATCTTTTTTTTTTCTTTACTTGGTTATATACATCAGAACTTCATGACTCTATATCTCTATTTCATATGCCATATATAAATTTTACCTGGAATATCATCCATAGTCCATTCTTCAAGTTCTGGAGGAGCATCGAAATCAATCCTAGAATCAGCTATCCAGACCTGTTCCCACCAATCTGGTTCTTCTGATAGCCCAGAAAGTCCTGGTTCTGAGTTACTTCTTGGCAGCTTCCGAGGAGACTCGACTTTCTCCTCTTGGCCACCGGCTTCGCATTGTACCTCACTTGACATGGTTGAGTAGCCTTCATCTTTATGACACTCTGTTTGGTTGCCTATACAAATATAAAATAAATATCTTATAAATCTGAACATTAAAATTTAAGTATTTATTTAAGCAGAAAATGGTTACCAGTGCTTGATACAAGCCGAGGGTTATCCAAATTAAGCGAACTAGGACGATGGACGGGCAGCCAAAGTAAAGACTCCCTCCATTTAAGCCTCGCTTCATCACAGCTAACAGGCCTAACACAAACTTCCTAAAAAGAAAATTAAAGCATAACATTAAATTTAAATGCTGATAAAAAATTGAATTTTTTTTTTCACTTATATGTAGAGTTGATACAAGCAATAGCATAATGTATCCAGCTAATACTTATTAATAACATACACAATTTCCTTAATTTATCACACTGGATAGAGAGTCATTGAGAATGGAACCTTTCCCACTAACTAGGTGGTAGTAGATTAATTACCCACTTTACACTTGATTTATCACAAAAAATCCTCTCTCCACTAAACGAAATCATAAACCATAAAGAGAGCTGGCTTCAAAGAAGCATACTACAACAACAAATGTGATTAAAGGAGGCCCACTCTTAGAGAACAGGATGAAGTTTGGTATATGTATGTAGAGCCACAGTTTAGATGCAGGAAAAGTCGAAATTCTTTGCAAAAAAACTCAAAACCAAATTTGGAGTAATATGTTGACCTTTCTGTTGAGTAGATGAAAATTGTATATCCATATCCAATCATCCTAAGAAAAGAGAGGACGGACCAGAGATGTAGTGAAAAACTAGAGACATGAAAGAGGTTAGTGACCAAACTGAAGACAAACAATGTGTAAACTGTGTAAGAACAAAGTTTTAAACAAATTTTATTACTTACAGGAACAGATAATATACACGATAGCCCATATCTGCCAATATCTTTACTTTTAGAACTAAAATAATATAGGTAATATGAAGTATAAACCCTAAATTATGCTGATGCACTGTGAAACAAAATAAAAATCTGTTAAGATATTCAAAGATATAACTACACAATTGAATGTTTATGTATTAATAAAAAGACACTACCAACAAGATAAAAAAATCTTTTCTAGAACTAAAACAATACAATAAATAACTTTAAAATGAGCTTAAACTAATTGTAAATTAGTTTGTTTTATTTAGCAATAACATGTTACTTACCACAGTAGCATCTCGTTTCTGCTGTTTGGGAAGCTGTTGAAAGAGGAGTGAACTCAAAGTATAGTTTTGTTTTTCCAATTCCTTCACCTTATCTTTCAATGTTGTTATTTCTTCTCTAAGGCTCTGTAATATTAATGATAATTTGTACGATTAAGAAAATAGAAAATGTTTTAATTCTACAGAATAATAATCTGATTACAATTTATTTTATAATATAAGTTAAATTTCATTTTAGCATATTGATTATAAAGGAATTCACAACTTCTGTTGATAATCCAAATATCTCTTTCACGAAATAAAACAGCTCAATATATTAGGTAAAATTGGCTAATAATTCTTATACTATAAAACAAAATGACAATAACATGTAATAAATTCTTTTTATTTTTAAGTGTAATTATTTATAATACAATGACTATTTTTTTTTTTTTTTTTTTTTTTTTTTTTTACCTTTTGAGCTAGTAATGCTTGAACTACTTGGTGGGCCACTTGATCCAAGCATTTTTCACATTGACTCCTCTCTGCAATCAGTCGAGCATTTTCTTCTTCAACTTCTTCAAGTCTAGCTCTCAATTTGTCCTCGTTGGCACCCTATAGTTAATTAATTACTAATATGAAGCATAAATAAAGAAACCAAAAAAATATATGATTAAAAAATATTTGCTGTAAACCTATGACAATATTATTGGTATTGATTTCTACTAAGTGTCTTTTAATATTATGTTTATCTCTGTTGATTATATCCTCCATACCTTAGACTTAATTTTGTGACTTGAATTTGCTAAAAAGACTATAAACTGCTCATCTGTTTCGACTACTTCAACATTAAGTTCATAAACGTTCTAAAGTATAAATTAATTTAAAAAATTTCACATTTATGACTAGAACGAGTTGGACAAACAATGACAAGATAATCTTTTAATATAAAACAACCATTGGAATGCAATTATTAAAAATATATTCTCCGGTTTTAGCTGTTAAATCAGACAAAATATTAACTCACTTTATATATGTTTGGTGTATGCCATAAGCAATTGGTTAATATAAATAAATACTCATATCAAACACTAATTTATTGCAGATTTACATCTAGCTAACAATTAGTAATATCACTATTTTAAAATACTCACAGCAGCTTCCAAGGAATGAAGTTGAGCTTTAAGTGCTTCATTTTCTGAACTGAGCTTGTTAAACGTAGATTGGTATTGCTGCATACGACCCTAAAACAGTGAAATTTTATTTGAATATCTTATTAAAAAAAACAAAAACAAAAAAACATATTGGGCTAAGTATCAACAAGAAAAGGGAATTCAAACTGACCAAAAATCATGAAGTCTTTGAACAGTAAATATAACTCTTGACAATATTTTCCAACTTCACTAATTACACAACATGAAAATTCAATTTAAAATTGTGTAATGCATGGTATTATGTAGACAAAGTTTTATTTTTTATTTTTTTATTTGTGACTTCAAAGTCTTGTTTCTTTTTCAAAGAATGAAACAAAAGGGTGAACAAGCAAAACAACCTTCAGTATTTAACTCTCTAATGACAGGGCAAGGCCTTCTATAATTTCTCTTATTACTCTCACAGTTGATCAAAAGGAGGGGTGCTTTGGCAGACCAAAAGAATTAATCAGATCTAAAGAGTATGCTATGATCAAAGTCATTGAACAAATCAATAAAGAGAACACAGCCTTAAGTTTAAATATAAATTATTGAGAGTTAATTTTACTACTAAAACATCAAATAAAATAGGCCTATGGATCACGGGAGGATCTACGGAGAGAGGGTATGGGAGGGAGGGACTTTAGGGCTGAAGGCCCCCCCAAAATGGTAAGATATAACCATGTTTTATGGAAACAAATATTAAAAAATTATCTCTTAAAGTATTATTATTCGTGTAGTTACATTTAAAAGGACTTTAGGAATCACTTAATCACTATTTCATTTTTTATTAAAGAATTTATTTTTTTACTAAAAAATCCCTTTAATATTCTTTGTACAATTGTACTATGATCTTCACTGATTCCATTTCCTACTTTATTTGTAATGGCATTGCATTTTAAGGAGTTTTTGATTTGTTTTGAACAGTGTTTTTTTTTGTTTCTTTGGCTTCTTTTTAAAATACTGGGACATAGTTTATTGTACTGGGACTCTTTTTCAAGGGTCTAAAATATCTAAAACTAAAGCTAAATTTTATTTCATCAAGTTGTTGACACTATTTAGGTTTGAAGTGACTTGATTTTGTCTTGAATTTAGGATTATTTGGCTATAATACGTATAATATAAGACATGTATTTAACCATATTAAAACTTACATCTCTGGAAGAATTTAATTATATGCGTTATAATTTAAAAAGAGTACGTTTTGCAATTGGTTGAGTATTAAGCCCAGATCACGACCCACCGATACGAATATGGCTTAATGTAAAAAAAAAACAAGAAACTTCAATTTTTTTTTGGGAGGGGTTTCATGCTGAAAGCCTCCCCCTCCCTATGGATCCGTCAGTGATCTCAAGCATTGAAAATGTTGAACATTCGCTTTAAGGTGCCTGGAAACTAACTTTCAGCACAGCAAGAATGTCACGTTGCGATTGCAATCGGGAAACTCCGTCCAACTTTTCCACTCGCTGCTAAGCGAGGATCCTGGATACGCGATAAGATCCCCAAAGCATACGGACTTTATCTAAGCCCCGGTAGTTACTGCATATTCAAATAGAGGCAGAGTACGTGCGGTGGCCGGACTAGTCTATTCAACCGACTCACGTTTACCATAACGAACAAGTTGGAGCCTAGCACAATGGCCGATACGCCCTATTTCAGATAAGATCGCCGCTTCCCTGAGAGGTTTTTTTGTCTCCTTTCTTCCGGAACTTATGGTGTATACTCCTCTGGATCTACGGTGTAAGACTACTAATGGGCCAGGCATAGCGGCACGTACGGGTCTAGTATTGTATTCCTGTCTTGTCATCTAGCAGTTTCCTATCCAAGGTACAATAAACAATGACATATGAACACCATTTAAAAAGTAAACACCTTGTATTATTATACAAAAGAAGAAGCGAGGATGGTGAATTTCTATTTCTCTCTTTTTTCTTCAAAATTAACCAAAACTTTGACATTAAAAAAATAAATAAACTTGTGTATCGTTTATTGGTAGGAGACAAAACGGAAAAGGGTATTAAATAAACACAACATCGAAACTAATTTGTTGAAGTAATATACTTATTAGTTGTATTGAGGGACCTAGGATATTTCCAGTAGGGAGAATGTTAAATATGCCACCCAACTTTCAACCCCTCCTTCAGCAAAAGTCGACAGTTCTATTTTATAGTATTTTAGATAATATATTTCAAAAGAAAAATGATCATATTATATGCTCATTTTATTGTCTCAATAAAAATAAAACTAGGACAAAACTAAAAATTCCTTGTAGATACAAACACCTTAATTTTGGTTCGGTAGAGTAAATCATTGTCCTTAAAAAAAAAATATATATATATATATATATAAAAATCGTTCCTGGAAAGTGTTACTCTCTAATCGTAGACAGTTAAAGAGAGTCAATCAAAAATATTGCTAGCCCTAGAAATGGAGTATTGGAGGTGGCCATATCGCTTTCAAAAATCACAATAGTGAGATTAAGAAACAAGTAAAACTAGTGAAGAACATTCTTCACACCTTCGAAACCATGAAGTGGTTAGGCCATGTGATGAGGATAGAAGAGGGACTAAACGAATCTGGGGTTGGAAATCGGAAAGAAGGGAAACTGGTATGAGGAACAGGAGGAATGATGAACAAAGATAAGCGTGAAGAAGACTGACAGGACAGAAGAAGATGACAAAGACTTATATTTGGTGAAGACATATGACTAATGTTGAAAAAGTAGTTAAATAAATAAAAAACAAAATTATCAAAAATTATTTAACCTAAAAATACAATTTCGTTCGAATTGTATTTTCAATGATTGTGGTTATCCTGAAAGATATATTTTATTAAAGATAAATATCAAGTACATAAGAAGTTCAGAAAGATTAAAAGGAAATTTAATTATCTTTTTATTATTATTATTTGAAGAGTTGTATTAAAGTTGAAATGACTAGATACTGCCCCCTCTTGGGATAGTAAGTCCTCGGGACTTGTCGGATAGCAAGTCCTTTGTAAAAAGCTAAAAACTAAAATTAACTAAAAGTTACCACAATGAAGTCGAAAATCGTGGACATGAAGCTTACTCACAGGTACCTAATAGAAGGAAACTATCAAGAGCATATTGATAATATATGATGTACACAAAGAAACTAGAAGAAAACTCAGGATCTACACACAAGAATTAAGTGGCTCATTGGTGAAGATAAAAATTTTCATGATCAAATTTTTAAAAGAAATTAAAAGAAAAACAATATTTAAACGAAATTAGAATATATAGGAAACTGTAAAATAAACGGTACCTCTAGCCTAATGTAGCGTATGTAGCGTACATGACACCAAATGTTAAATAAATACAATTGAAACAACTATGAAATGTACTGAATAACGAAAAAAAAAACAATAACTTCAGAGAAAAAATGGAGAACATGACCATTTTATTTTAAATTATTAGCTAGTTAAGAAAATCTCTCGTCTAACTTCTTTTCAATCTTCAGTATAATGGAAATATAAATACTTTGTGAAAATGAACTTCAACTTTGTAGTTTTTCGCAAGAACAACGCCTGAATACATGACATGTATACAATGCAATACGGGCCGGTTTAGCGGATTAGTATTAAAGCGCCAGGATTTGATGGCGACGATCCAACTGCCAAAAAACTAAATATGAGTTTTGTTAAAAAAAAGAAAATACGTATTACACAGGTATTTATATTCCAACTTCACATTTATAGTCCCAATGAACAATAAATATTTATTTTTGTATAACCTTGAAAGTTGTAGTATTTAAACTTTATATATTATAAAGAAAATATTAAGTCAAAATTATTAATATAAATATTGAAATTAAAGGACTATAATGCTTGATTTTGTTATTATTAATAATAACAATAATCCGTTAAGCGAAAATGGGGGAGGGGGATGTTATTATTATTCTTGCAGACAAAAATATCTAAATAAAACCAACATGGGAAATTTAATCTATAATACCAATCTTAGCCGGAGTGCCACAAGGATTAATTCTTGCACCATTACTATACGTAATGTATACGCACGATATGCCAGTTACCACTGACACAATGACAGACACTTATGTAGAGGGCACTACACTATTATCAGGAGACGTTGAGATTCCAGGCACGAATCTGAGATCTTACAACATATCTTACAAATGCTATACAACTGTTGTTAAAAGATAAAAATGGGAAATAAATAAATCATTTATTCAGTTACCCTCACCAAAACCCGTATAGCCGTAAGGCAAGGTAGGGTTTAAATAAATAAATAAATAAATGTTAAAAGATAAAAAAAAATAATGTCACTATAAATATGCTATTTAGTTCCATATTATAAATATAGATAGCGTCAAGGCCTGATATTGTGGTCCATACACTGAGGTTTTTGTTTATATTTCTCATTTATTTTAACTATGAATTTCACATTGCTATACATATATTCTTAACCTATAATTATCCATTATCCACAGTATCAAAATCACAGTATCAAATATACAGTCGTGTCTATCTTGTGCTAAAGGAATTTTGAACTTTATATTTCAGTAAGGCAAGGGAAAGAATAAAGGATAAGTTTAAATAATAAAGAATAAGGACTTATATATTAATTTTTTCTTTAGTTTTCCGCGATAATATTCTTCCTATCACAATTTAATATCAACAGTGAATGGATTCGTCAACATTTTAGTGGAATGAATGTATTTTTATAAATATTAGAAAATAATAATGATTGTTACATTATGGTTATACGAGACTTCTATTAACTAATTAATATTGTTATACATTATTAATTACTGGTCAACTCTGAATATATTTGATTTATTTTAAACACTATGTTTTAGTAATTCAACGATAGGAGCCGACTTATGAAAATTATTGGGGGTCAAACCATAGGATCATGGGGTGGGAGGCATGTAAGGGTGGGGATATTGCTTGGAATATATCCTATATGCTCATATGCAATATATGATATATGCCTATATGAAAAATCATCATCTCAAGCAGGTATTGAGTTGTTTCAAACCCTTCCTGATGACAAAAAGGTGTTAGGACAGACAAAATACCTTAAAATGGTATAGTATTTTAATAGATGATTCCTTTTACAGTTTAGTTGAGTTTATGGATCTAAACTAGGACACAGTTCAACAAATTCTACTACACTTGCTAGTAGATAGATAAAGTCCTTTGTAATGGGGTTGTAACGTACATGATCGATATGTTCATGAAGATCATGCTATGGCAATTTGTTGGGGGAGCTGAGCTCCTATCGCCGCAGCATTGGGGGGCTCAAACCCCGCCAACCCCTAGTAGTCGGCGCCTATAAATTCAACTAAACATTCTATCAATCAGCCAGAGAAACAAATATGAACTGATGAAAAAAACAAAACAAAAAAAACACATATCTTTTCATTTTTGGGTGGGTTTCATCAGCCTCTCTCAGTGAATCCGCCAATGTATGAAGTAATGAAAAGTCTATGAAAAACATAAACAAACTGGAATCCAGTTCTTGATTAATAATGTTCCTTCAAGTAGAAGAGGTGGAAGAACCTGGCAGTACACCACTGGTCAATTCTGAATATATTTGATTTATTGTAAACAATATTCAACTTACATTCAATTCACAATCTGTCATTCAACTAGACATTCTATCAAACAGCACAGTCTATTTAATGATTTGAGAACCAGAGAAGAAATCTCTAGATATGACATGGCATCGACATACAGTAGCTAAAAAGAATAGGAAATAATCAAGAGGAGAGATATGGCGGAAGAAAATGGGCCAAGAAAAACGGAGACCGATTTGGTTGGGAGAGATTTACACCAACTGGAACGCTACTTTTTCTTCTTTTCCAAGATTTAGGAGGCCTTTTATTCAGGCGTCTTCTTTATCTCCCTCATTTACATATATGATACAGGGCTCTTCCCAACGCTGCCTATGGATTATTCCTACGGATCAGTTCGTTATAAACACTCTTTGGCATACAAAAGACAAATGAAGCGAAATATGTAAATTGTATGCATGGGTGATTTAAAGGTAATGGACGATGTATTATCATTTTATTATTTCAAAAACTTATTTATTTTACAATATATTTGCAATTTTGTTACAATGCACCAAGCACACATAATGTCATTTATTCTGTCTTCATTCAGGCTGACCAGGTAACAGAAAGGAAGAAAGGGAGAGGACGAGTGGATTTGGATGTATGTGTTAAGTATGAAAGATTTTACTGTTGTTACGCCCATGCTTTTGTTTACGGTGTTATTTAAAATAAATCAAGTTACATTTACTGTCCTTCGAAGTATTTATTGGAACCCTAAAGTTCGGCTCAGATAGATCTCAGCGGTGTAGATCAGTCGCTTGTTTCGTAAATCGAATGGAGATCTGTAGTCCAAGAGATGTGACAGTTGTTTGTATCATCTGGTCAGTTCTAGTTTTTGTTTTTAATTTGTTGTCTTCAATGTGACTTTTCTGTCCAAGTATAGTCCTAGATACCGCAGATAATTTTTTGAGGAAACGAGAACATGGTTTGGTTTGTTGGTATTTATTTTAATTATCCATTTTCGGAACCAATTTACGAGGTCATAGAGATGGTTTTGAATGTTTTGATCAAAAATATTTTAAAGAAATCACATTCAACACGTATATTCTCTTCGAAAAGATATCTGCTCAATGGAAGAAAAAAAAATGCCTACAACAGTAAGAAAAAAAAAAAATATGGAACAGATCACCAAAGAATAAGAAATTGAAACCAAGACGTATCATAAACAGATATGTTTAGTGAACCACTCTACAAAGTGCTGAGACTG